ATGCGCAGAACCGAAAATCAAGATGGCGCCGCCGAGGATAGAACCGGTTTGGGCGTGTGTCTGGCCAATTACTACCTACTCGGCCAAACCAGTCCCAACTGACAGGAAACACCCTCTGGTCCCCTCAACCACCAGTCAAATGGAGCCACCATGTTCACGGGCTATGTTATATCCAACTTCCTGCTAATAACAGAATGCCAGAGGTGGCATTCAGCAGGTTCTGACCAGTTCTGGAGAAGCGGTAGCAGAAATTATGAGTAGTTCGGAGAACCGGTAAATACCACCTCTGGCTGGCCTCGCCCCCATCTATTCTCTGCCTCCTAAGCCCCAGCTGATCAGGAGGAAATGGGGATTTTACAGTATCCTTCCCATGCCACGCCCACCAAGCCACGCCCACAGAACCAATAGTAAAAATTATGAATCCCACTACTGGTTCCAGGCCAGAGTCTAATTATCTGTTGTCTGTGTTGTGGTTCTCCCCCCCCCCCCCCCCGGTACCTTGAAATTATTTCTTTTGCCCATTACATTAGGGCATCTTTTTTGGATACAGGTAGTCCTTCACTTATGACCACAACTGAGCTCAACATTTTTGCTGCTAAGTGAGACATTTGTTAAGTGGGGTTTTCCCCATTTATGACCTTTCTTGCCACAGTTGTTGAGTGAATCTGGCTTCCCCATTGATTATGCTTGTTGGGAGGTCACAAAAGGTGATCACCTAACCCTGGGACACTGCAACCGTCATAAATATGAATTGGTGGCCAAGCATCTGAATAGGATCACATGACCGTAGGGATGCTGCAGTGATCTTAAGTGTGAAAACTGGTCCCAAGTCACTTTTTTTCAGTGCCATTCAGTGGCGGGTTCCGGATCCCATTGCAGTCGGTACGGTGCAATGGGGCCGAGCATCCACCACATGAACGCATGCAGTGCACGCAGGCGTACTTACAGTCCGCGATGCTCTGTGACGCCTCTGCAATGCTCCAGCTGCTCGGCAGAGCATTGTACAGGCACCGTATGCTCCATGTACATGCGCGGAAGCCCCGAAAACCTCAAATACCGGTAAGGAGCACGGGCAGGTGGGTGGGCCCTCTGGAACACCGTACCGGAACGATACCTGATCTTCCAGCAGGCACCAGTACACTCGTACCAGGATGTACTGGTTGTAACCCACCACCGGTACCGTTGTTGCTTCAAACAGTCACTAAACAAACGGTTGTAAGTTGAGGACTGCATTCTCTCAGGGTAAACAAAAGTGCAACGTTAAACACTGAAATTAGTGGAAATTAGTGGCAAAAATAGAGTGAAAGATGTGCAAACTAGAAGTGAACAACAACAACAATGAAGGGAGCCACAGAAGGAAAGGATTGCTAATATTATGCAATTGTTGATGGTTATTTTATCCTGGACTGCAGAGTTGAGATAAATAACCTGCTTGAAGAAGTAAAAAGACAATTTAATAAAGATTCTTGCAATTTATTTGTCTCTAAAGACAGAGGATTATCCATCATCTGAGGTCTGCTGCAGCATCGGATTTTGAAAGCAGACTAAGCATTATGTTAAGATTATCTGAGACTGCTCTGGTAGGAAGGACAACATCCTGATAAATGATGTATGTAGACACTCTCTCTTGGAGTACTCATCTCAAATGATCTAAGCCCCAGAGCTCACTGAAACAGCATTGCCAAAAAGGCATTAAGAGTTGTTAACCTAATTTTGCAAAGCTTCTTCTCTGATAATATTGTACTGCTAACTAGGGCATTCAAAACCTTTGCCAGACCAATTTTCAAATACAGCTTGTCTGCCTGGAATCCACACTGTATATTGGATAATAATACAATTGAGAGAGTCCAGAGGTTTTTTGATGAGAAGAGTCCTCTACTCCTCTGCTCACAATAGAATCCCTTATGCCACCAAACTTGAAATTTTGGGCTTAGACAACTTAGAACTATGTCGCCTACAGTGTGACCTACGCATAGTACACAAAATTGTCTGCTACAACGTCCTATCTGTTAATGAAGACTTCAGCTTCAAGTGCAATAATACACGGGCAAACAATCAATACAAACTCAAGGTGAGCCACTCCAAACTCAATTGTAGAAAATACAACTACAGCAACAGAATGGTCGATGTCTGGAATGCTCTACCTGACTCTTGTTACATCCTCAAACCCCCATAACTTTAACCTTAGACTGTCTACTATGGACCTCACCCCATTCTTAAGAGGTCTGTAAGGGGTCATGCATAAGCGCACCATCGTGCCTACTGTCCCTGTCTGACTGTCCCCATTTATTCGTACCCATTTCCTGTGTTCATGTCCATGTTTCTACTTATACGTGTTATCCGTACATGTTTGACAAACTAAATAAAATAAATAAATAAATATCATGGTTTGCAGAAACAGGATTATTAAATGCAAATTTCTCATTTACAGCAGCTCCAGCACCTGCCCCACCATCGGTGTCCACACATACCTATATTCCAAGCCAAGCTGAGCCTTCAAGTCGTCCCCCCTGGGTGACAGATGACTCCTTCTCCCAAAAGTTTGCTCCTGGGAAAAGTACAACCACTGTCACAAAGCACATTCTGCCCAAGGGTGCTCCGGTGCCTCCATCTTCTGCAGCACCTCCCCCAATTCCTGCATCCATCCAGGCTCCTGCTATCGCACGGGGGACAATCCAAAGAGCAGAACGCTTCCCCGCCAGTAGCCGAACTCCACTCTGTGGACATTGTAACAGCATCATCAGGTATGTCTATTGCATCCTTCCATGGAAAGAAATCCTAGTGGAGTCTAGTTACACTTATGCCAGAGACTAAAGATGGTGGGCCATCTGAAGGAGAAAAGCAGGCAGAGCTGGGAGGGTGGAATTAAGTGCATCAGCACTTTAGAGTCCTTGTGTTGCCATAAGAGATCCAAGTCCAGTTTCTGTTGTAGTCTGCTGGTGGCCTGCAAACAGTGAGGAGGTTGGAGAAAAACATGGGCCAGTCCTGGAGTCTGGGGAAGGATCGGATGCGGGCTCTGTGTTGGAGGCAGAGAGGGGGCCAGGGCCATCTGGGAATTATGTGCTGCTTCCGGAGCCTCCAGAGTCGGACATCAGTGAGGCAGAGGAACAGGGGGGGCCTGTTCCAAGTGCGCTCATGCGCAGAGCTGCCAGAAGGCAAAGACAGTTAAGGCAAAAGGGACAACTTGGGAGTAAGACTTGGAGATGATTGGCCCCTCCCATAAGACATAAAGGAGGAGCAAAGGCATGTGAGCCTTTGCAGGAAGCAACTTTGTTCGTTCTGGTCAGTTTAAATTCTGAAGCTCTGTTTTGACTCTGTCCTTGTGCGGCCTTGCAAAGCTAATTGCCAGTTAGGTCTTTGGCAGTGTTTCAAGGGAGATAAAGGCGGGTGCTTATCAGCCTTATCCCAAAAGACTTTGGCAGACTTCTTTTGGACTCTTTACAAACTATTTGTGGCTCATTATGGGCTGTGAATGAACATAATCACAGCCGTTGAAATAAAAAGAGGGTTTTGGGGACTAAGCATGTGCTTTTTACTGTCTCAGGAAGCTTAGGTCATAACAATTTCCTTGAATTCCATTGGCACCATTAGTTGTCTTGCGTATAGGCTTGAGCAATAAATCTTTCTGCACTGCGTCTTAACCTATGACCCTGATTTTTTTTTCACCTGACATTAGCTTCCCAAAAGAAAATCTTGCCTGTTGTGTCTATCTTCACCATTCAGCCCTTGGAAAGCAGAAATTCCATTCAGATCAAATCCAAATTCATATAGATACTGAAAATGGCTAACACGTTTTTTTTCCAAATCTGATCGCTCCTAAGATGCTGACCTACAAATTCCATTATTTCCAATCAGTAGGGCTAATGACATGCAACACAGCTGGTGGGATCCAGTTTGGAGAAACAGAAATTATATAGCGATTGAAATAAAGGGGAGAAAAGTAAGGAAAAATGAAAAAAGGATCTATATGACATCAAAATAAAGTTAATTCAGTTGTTAAAACTTATTAAATCTAGACCATATAAACACATGTGGCTCCATCTTCTCAATTCTGATGATTGACTAAACTCCATCCTAATTGTTAGCATCTGGTTTTTCTTCTCTTCTCTTCTCCTATCCTATTCTCTCTTCTCTCTTATTTTCTTCTCTTCTCCTCCTATCCTATTCTCTTTTCTTCTCTTCTCCTTTCTTCTCCTATCCTATTCTATTCTCTCTTCTCTTATTCTGTCCTATTCTTTTTTCTCCTATCCTCTCTTCTCTTATTCTATCCTATTCTCTCTTCTTTTATCCTATCCTATCCTACTCTCTTCTCTTTTCCTATACTATCCTATTGTATTCTCTCTTCTTCTCTTATCCTATCCTATCCTGTCCTATCCTCTCTTATCCTATCCTATCCCCTCTTCTTCTCTTATCCTATCCTATTCTCTCTTCTCTTATCCTATCCTATCCTCTCTTCTCCTATCCTATCCTATCCTATTCTCTTCTCTTCTTCCCTCCCATTCCCTCTTCCTCCTCTCCTCTCCTTTCCCTCCTCTCTTCCGCTCTCTTCCCTTCTCTTCCTCTTCTCTTCTCCTCTCTTCTTTTCCTCTTCTCCTCTCCTCTCTCCTCTTCTCTTCCTTGTCTTGTCTCCTTTCCCTTGACAGAGACTTAAAACCAAGATTTTTCTTCCAGATTCCCTTCTCATAGAATTCCTTTTAGCAAGATTTGTTGAGAAGAAATGGGTGGAATTCCAAGAATTTCAGCCACTGAACTATTTCCTGTTTGCAACCAATATATCCCCATATGTATCAAGGAAAATACTTTCTAAATCTCTTCCTAACAGCCTCCTGAGATGGGGAGGAGGTGGGTGTTTTCATCACCTCCTGGCTGTCTGCAGAACCATCTCCTGGATCAAGGCATCAGTCTGGGAACCAACCATCACAGGAACTTCTTGTACCTTGGCTGCCTATGTGCCATTTGGAGAAGCATGTCACAGTTTGCATCCAAAACAAAAGGAAGTTTCAGAACAGATCAGATGATACCTCTGGGTATCCCAGCAGTGGGTTTCACATTTTGCTATCACCAGTTCGCTGGGCATGCACCCGGCCTTATACACATGTGCTTTGCTCTCTCACGGATCTTCCGTACATGCACCCAGCCTAAAAAAATGTGCCTAAATAGGACAGTGATTTCCACTACCAGTTTGAGCAAACCAGTCCGGACCGGCTGAATATCACCTCTGGATACTCCTTAATGCAGCCATGTTTCCTGCAATCACACATTTTGCAGCATAGTTGCAACACAATGCCCAAAACAGACGTGTTTGATTCTGGACAAAGTATAAAGGTCCCTATAGGAGTGTCTGCTTTTTCTCCACACTTTGAGACTGGTAAATATTCAAAGATATCTGTCTGCTTAAGTCCTAATGGAATCAATGACTCGTTAAAATATATGTTGGGAAGGACTTTTGCCTCTTCGTGGCGTAATTTCTCCTGAGTTGGTTAGCCTGATAGATGGTCAGCCTCTTTAATGGAGCTTGGATCTAACTTTTATGCACAAGAACTCAAGGTCAGCACATCAGTGTGTCGATAGCCCTCGATCGCTAATTTAAAAGGCATCTTTTCTCTTTCAAGAAACCATGGTTCATGATAGTGCTTTTCCCTGAACCAAGACTCTTGTGACATTTTAGAGGAGCAAATCCATCAGAAGCATGTATGGATTAGACACCTGTTTCCGAAGGCATGAAATCTGTAAATGGGTATAAAGGGAACAATTGTAAATGGGGACGGCTATACTAAAATAGAGACAACATATCTATGTATAGGTGTAAAATAAACCCAGTGGGTATTTCCAGAGATGGCCTTTCTTATGCAGTGCCTCCACCTTATTAATTTTATAAAGGAATTATTTGATATTATCTCCTTTTATACTATAGGGATGCAGTGGCTCAGAAGCTGAGCTTCTCAGTCAGAAAGGTTGGCGGTTTGAATCCCTAGTGCCGCATAACGGAGTGAGCTCCCGTTACTTGTCCCAGCTTCTGCCAACCTAGCAGTTCGAAAGCATGTAAACATACAAGTAGAAAAATAGGAACCACTTTTGGTGGGAAAGTAACAGCGTTCCGTGTGCCTTTGGCATTGAGTCATGCCGGCTACATGACCACGGAGACATCTTTGGACAGCGCTGGCTCTTCGCCTTTGAAACGGAGATTAGCACCACAGGGGTGGATTCCTGCCGACATTACTACCGTTTTTGTGCCCCAAAACACTTGTGCATGCATGGTACAGTCACTTGTCCAGCCGAGTTATTACCTATTTGGCTGAACCGGTCCAAACCGGCAGGAACCCACCTCTGGAGCATCTCCCCTTAGAGTCGGGAGTGACTTGCACATACACTATATTGCCAAAAGTATTCGCTCACCCATCCAAATTATCAGAATCAGGTGTTCCAATCACTTAAATGGCCACAGGTACCTAGGCATGCAGACTGTTTTTACAAACATTTGTAAAAGAATGGGTCGCTCTCAGGAGCTCAGTGAATTCCAGCATGAAACTGTGATTGGATGCCACCTGTGTAACAAATCCAGTCGTGAAATTTCCTCGCTCCTAAATATTCCACTGTCAGCTGTATTATAAGAACGTGGAAGTGTTTGGGAACGACAGCAACTCAGCCATGAAGTGGTAGGCCACGTAAACTCATCCAACATCAGTGTGTGACCTCACAAATGCGCTTCTGGAAGAATGGTCAAAAATTCCCATAAACACACTCCTAAACCTTGAGGACAGTCTTCCCAGNCTTCCCAGAAGAGTTGAAGCTGTTATAGCTGCAAAGGGTGGACCGGCGTCATATTGAACCCTATGGATTAGGAATGGGATGTCACTTACAGTAAGTTCATATGTGAGTAAAGGCAGGTGAGCGATTACTTTTGGCAATATAGTGTATGTGTGAGGGGAACCTTTCCTTTATCTTTTGTACTCCACTATTTTTTCCCACTACGTATCAGGGTTTTTTTTTTCCTGAAAAAATAAAATAAAATTTGTTAAGTAACAGTTGTAATTGATTGTGCTAGAATCCTCCTTCTGAAACCCTGCATTCAAAACACTAGTGATTGATAAATTTATTGTGTCCAGCTGGCTCAATTTGGCTGACCTTCTCTCTACTTTTCTTTTCAACCAAATGCAAACTGAATTGCTTCTCCCCTATGTCAGGTGCTAAGAATTGGGACCATCCATTAGGTTGCAGCCCAGAAGAACTATTTAAGCCGATACACAAGAATCTAATCAGCTAAAATTCAACATTAAATTGGCGCCAGATAAGAATGGGATTCAGGAATGATTGGACTTGGACGTTTGTGGGAACGTAATGACTCTAAGCTGATGACACACTTAACTCCCCTTTCCCAGCTCTGCCTGCTCTCCCCCTACATTAGTATAAATGAAGTGGCATTTTATACTTTTGATCGTGGAATTTAACTCAATAAGCTTTGAATTGGTTAGTCTTTAAGGAGGTTTTTCTGGGCTTTGTTAAGCTAATTCCTAGGAGTCGTTAGAACAGACCCAATTGTGCAAGGGATAGAAAAACAATATATTTTTGAATGTGTTTGATTCATTCTTACAGAGGGCCCTTCTTGGTAGCCATGGGTCGCTCTTGGCATCCTGAGGAATTCTACTGTGCTTATTGCAAGGCTTCTCTGGCTGATGTGGGCTTTGTGGAAGAACAAAACAGTGTCTACTGTGAGCATTGCTACGAACAGTTCTTTGCCCCGACCTGTGCCAGATGCCATATCAAGATCATGGGGGTAAGTCCACAAGCCAGCTGGGAGGAATCCTGGCCAAATCATGCCTAGGGGGAAGAGTCTAGCTACTAGATATGGGCTGCAAGAATTTGAATGACCCTCGGGGAGCACCATAGAGACAAAGAAAATGTTTTTGTGCTTCTGCCTTCTCCAAATGCTGAAGGAAATGGAGTCTTGCTTCCTAGAGTGCATTTGTTTTGAGAATGCAGGCTGATGGGTAAAGGGGTGGGGTCAGCTTCAAACAATATACTTGGTATTTGTCACTCTGGCCACTAGATGGTGCTAGAGAGCAACAACAGTATATAAAAGTTATATGCTGGGGCATGACACTAGATGGGGCTAGAGAGCAACAACAGTATATAAAAGTTATATGCTGGGGCATGACAATGGCACTGAAAAAAGTAACTTATGACTGTTTTTCATATTTACGACCATTGCAGTATCCCCATGATCATGTGATCAAAATTCAAATGCTTGGCAACTGGTTCATATTTATCTTGGTTGCAGCATCCCGGGGTCATGTGGTCCCCTTTTGTGACCTTCTGACCAACAAAGTTAACAAAAGCAGCAATTCACTTAATAAGTGCGGCAAGAAAGGTCCTCAAGTGAACAAAACTCACTTAACAGTTGTCTCGCTTCGCAACAAAGTTGAGGTGCACCACCATGTCTGAACAGTGGTGGGATTCAACCAGTGTGACAACTGGTTCGCTGAGCATGCGCTTTGCTCTGCAGCCCCAATGAGTAAAACAGCTGAGGCACAGCAATCTGCTCTGCCGCGCCTATCAGCTGGGCTTCAAACAAAGGAAATATAGGACAGATTAGCGCAGGTAGCGCAGGGGCGAGTGGGCAGAGCCAACTGATTGCCAGAACTACTGGTTCACATGAACCAGTCCAACCAGCTGAATCCCACCCCTGCACCTGAAGAACATCTTGTGATACCCCACCATGATCTACAGGAATTCCACATGAGTTGCTTGGACATTATTTCTCCTGGATGAGCGGAATTAATCATTGATCACTGAATTAGTTAGTTCGTCAGGTTTCCGAAAGATGCCCTAATTAAGATAAGATAAGAGCTGGCCTTCCCCGTGTTCCTTTCCCCCCAAAAGGAGGACGTTTCTGGAAAACCACTTCTCTTTTCTCTTCCAGGAAGTGATGCATGCTTTGAGGCAAACTTGGCACACCACTTGCTTTGTCTGTGCCGCCTGTCGGAAGCCGTTTGGAAACAGCCTCTTCCACATGGAGGATGGAGAACCCTACTGTGAGAAAGGTGCTAAAGAGTTCCTCAATCGGTTGATAATCTTGCATCTTTCCAAAGAAAACACCCTCAGCTTGGAAATCCCCTCCTTCTCTACTGCTTTCGTTCATGCTTGCTTCTTGCAACTCTTTGCCAGACGGTCTTCATGTTCAGCCATGTTCTCTTAGGGATGACTTCCAAAACGCAAATCTGCATCATGCTTTAATCTCCTCTTTTTTTTCTTTTGCTTTTCCTCTTTCCCAAATCTGCAGACATTGAACTTTTTGAGGTCCTCTTTTGTTCGCAGGTGGGACACGGTGGCTCAGAGGCTAAGATGCTAAGCTTGTTGATCAGAAAGGTCGGCAGTTCGGTGGTTCAAATCCCTAGAGCCGCGTAACGGAGTGAGCTCCCGTTACTTGTCCCAGCTTCTGCCAACCTAGCAGTTCGAAAGCATGTAAAAAAATGCAAGTAGAAAAATAGGAACCACCTTTGCTGGGAAGGTAACAGCGCTCCGTGCACCTTCGGCATTTAGTCATGCTGACCACATGACCACGGAAACGTCTTCGGACAGCATTGGCTCTTTGGCTTTGAAACAAAGATGAGCACCGCCCCCTAGAGTCGGGAACGACTAGCACATATGTGCGAGGGGAACCTTTACTTTTACCTTTGTTCGCAGTGACTTTGAAAAGCAACTGCTAGTTTGACTTCACAGTCCTTACTCAGTTACTTTCAAGGAACACAGTGTGAAGTTGAGGAAAAATTGATTCCCAGGAACTATTTTGACATGGTTGTACCATTTTCTTGACAGCAATATGTCACTCTCTTACTCCTGCAATTTTTTTTCAACTTCTGTAGATTTAGTCCTGACATTTCCTTCAAGACTCAATATTGTTTGGGGTTTTATTTTGTTCATTTGTTTTTCATTTTTGCAAACATTCATTTGCAAAAGATTCATTTTTGCAAACAGCTGAATGACTTCCATCTGATCCCTAACGTGATAAAGAGATTTTAAAAATACCACACACACACATTTAGGTAAGGATAAAAGGTCCTTCAGTTAAAAATCAAAGTGTCCCAAATCTAGAGATATGAAAAAAGGTAATTATTGCTCTAGCATCGCTAATATTTGGTGTAGAGGAAGAAGCTTATAATGCACAATATTCATTCTATAAATGGTTGCATTTGCAGCCTGGGCTCTGGCATTGCTTCATGTCGGAATGCCTCACCGATCATGTTTAGTCTTGCCTTCCTTCCCACGAGTACCCCATGCATCATTATTTGCTTTCACAACTGCGAAATGCTCTAATGCTGGTCAGGCTAAGAGAGAGATCAGCTGGCTGATCTCCCTCCCTCCCCCTTTTAGTCTGTAAGAAATCAGGATTCGAAACTAGTTCTTCCTGCTCCTAGTCTAATGCTCCAAATATTGTGCCACACCAGGCAAGTAGTCAACTCATTTCAAACACCGTTCCAGGAACTTCCGCAAAGTTGAGGAGGAAGGCAAGCAAAAATAAACCCACAGTTTTGCATCAGAGAAGGCATTAAAATCCACTGCTGCCTTTTTGTCCCAATGCTACCTAGGCGTGTCTATGACATCACCGTAAATCAAGAGGGGACATTAATATATTTATTATAGTACTCTTTATGTTGCAAACCTCATTTTTTTCTCTTTGATATGTATTCTTCTAGACTATGTTGCCTTATTCAGTACCAAATGTCACGGATGCGACTTCCCCGTTGAGGCTGGAGACAAATTCATCGAGGCCCTTGGTCACACCTGGCATGATACATGCTTCATTTGTGCTGTAGGTATCTTCCCAAGACTGGTAGGTGGGTCACAACACGTAACACACAAACATAGATACCCAAGAGAGGGTCCAGGAGTATTCTAAATGTTTCACAATGAAACAGACACCTTTTAGCTATGGCCAACCTGCTCAGGGTAAAAGTTCATGTGATATGTTCTTCAAAACATGTAGGAGAAACAGGGGTGGACTGCTACACATTTGCCCGGGCTCAGGAGAACCTTATGGCCGGTTCACAAATCCCACCCCTGGCTGGCCCCTCCCCTCCCACTCCTCCCCTCCCCGGAGTCTCCACGGGGCTCATTTTGCATGCAAGGTAAGTACAGGGTGGAGGATTGGGGAGGGGGAAAATGGGCCTCCCGGAAGTTCCAGAAAGCCGGAAACATGGCCGTTTCCGATCCCCTGAGGACCTCTGGAGCCCGGGGGAGGCAGTTTTCACCCTCCCAGAGACTTGAGGAAAGCCTCCGGAGCCTGGGGAAGGTGAAACCCACCCCACTGCCTGGTGCAGGAAGCCAACTAGGCCACGCCCACCATGGCCACGCCCACCCAGCAACCTGGCTGAGGACCCGTTGCTGAAATTTTTGAAGCCCACAAAGGGGTGAACTGCTTCCGGTAGTAAAAAAATGCTACTGGTTTTCAGAACCGGTAATAAAAAATACTAAAAAAAGCTTTTTAAAAAAAGTTTCAAGGATTGCATGTTACACAGCTGATCTTTGGAACTTTTTAAAAAAAAACTTTTAAAGAATTTTTTTACTAGAGTTTTTCCGGAAACACGGAGGTGGAGGGGTCTGTTTTTGTTCCCATCAGGCTTCCCTGAAGCGTGCTAGGCCAAAAATGGAGGGTGGAGGTGCTGGGAAAGAAAGGAAGGAGGGAGGGAGGGAGGGAGGGAAAAAGGAGAGGAAGGAAGGACTACAAATCTGGCAATACTAATTTCAGAGGATAATCCAGGGCTGGAAGGACCTGGAGGTCATCTAATCCAACCCTGCTCCAGCACGACATTGTTAAAGTGAGTTTCTGTCTTTTGATCCCCCAGTTACATGACTGCATAACCACGCCCACCCAGTCACATGGTCCCACCAAGCCACGCCCCACCAAGCCATGCCTACAGAACCGGTAGTAAAAAAAAATATAGATTTCACTACTGAGTACCCCCCTGAGAAAAAACTATATTCTGGTTCTTCTTGGAGGTAGATCTGGATCATCTTCATCTGTGCTCAGTTTGGTAGATCATTTTTGGAAAGAAATGACTGACTGCATCAAAACTCCAATTGTTTTGTGTGTGTAATGTCAATGCATTCAAGGATGTTCCTGGAGGCAAGTCAGTGCTTTTCTAAAGGAACTGAATGAAGGAATCATATCAACCATGTACACCAATCTCTCCCTTTTTCTCATTGTTTTGACTCAGGAATGGGGGCTCAGCACATCTTATGCTTAGATTGCTCTAACTTTGCTGGTTTTGCAGAATGGACTGAAATGGAGGGACTCAGAATCGCGTCGGCTTCGATGCAATTCCAACTTGCTGTATCTCTCATTCACAGGTCTGCCATGTCAATTTGGAAGGTCAACCGTTTTATTCGAAGAAAGATAAGCCTTTGTGCAAGAAACACGCCCATGCCATCAACGTCTAAAGAAAAATCCGGAAGGGAATAATGAAGCAAAAAAGGGTGGAGGTTGATTCAACAGATTAAATATAGATCACTATGGATTTCTGAGGATAGGGGAGGGGAAGGGGAGGTCACAAATTATGGACACTTTGAATTATGCTTTTGTGTGTGCAGATCTATTTCTGATGCACAAAAGAGGGAATGAATATTCATAGTTTGGCAGCCAACTTGGGCTGTAATTGCTTGAGCAAAATGAACAAAATAAGGGGGCAGTTTCTATGTAAGCATATTTAGGATAGGTTTACCCTAGTAGAACCCATTACTGTTAAAAAAATTAAATAGAATCCTTTTTTAGTATTATCATACAGCTCAAAAGTGCCAAATTACACAAAGTAACTTAAAGTCATAGTCCATTGTGATGATGAGTCAATTAAGTATTAGTATTCCTTACCAAGCCAACGGAGAAATATTCCATTGTTCTATGTCGCGACTCTTCTTCACACTACTTAGCTGTGGCATAACTTTGAGGTTAAAGAAAAATGGTAGGCCAGATAGAATTAACAAAAAACATGCCATGAACTGACCCAATCAAAGCTTGAATCCAAACACAACTAAAAACTCCTCTGGTAATTCTCCTTGATTACCAGGTTTTCTTGTATATAGGTGTGGTTTTCCTGGATTTAAAAAAAATGTGCTTTTTCCAAGCTGGTAAACTTTGGGGATAATATCCAACCCCCAGTAATCGTGAATGGCTCCTCCTAAGTCTCATTCCTATATTGGAATATATCCCCCTGGAGTAGAACTGTTAGAAAATGATTTTCAAAGGACTCTGTATGTGTGTGGAGACCTTGAGCTTCTGATCGTTAGTAGGAAAGTTGAGCAAAATGATGAGAAGGGTTGCATGGAAGAACGAAGAGTTAACTCAGTGGATCAGTTGTCTTCCATCTGCTATTGGGGAAGGAAGGAGAAAGTGTTGGATTGTATGTTCACCATGCCATTGTCACTATCAAGCTAACTGACCATGGAGGAAACACTTACATAAGAAATTTCCCCAAGGATGAGACCCTCTGGTTGAGATTACTTGCGACGGATAGTAGAAGCTGTAGACTTTGGATAGTTGGAAGTCAACACTTTGCATTCCAGTTGAGACACTTTGCCAACTGATGGACGAGCATTTGGCTTGGTCAAGAACACTGAGTTCTTGAAAACTCTTACTCGTAATAGCAGTAATGAGGAAGGCGGTCATTTCTTTTTTGTTGATGGTTAGGAAAAGCTACATTATAATTGCAGCTACAAAAAGATAGAGTTAGGGGGATATCCAGATTATTATTATTTTTTAATTTCTTTGTTTTCAAGAATGTGACATTTTGTTTGGTTAAAACTGGTGCCATTCACCGGACAGACCTTGAACGAGAGACTTGTAATTCTTTAAAGACGGTTGTCTCTAAAGTGTGGTTGTGTTTGCTGCTACAAGAAAAAGAAGCCTGCAGAACCTTGAGTAGTTTTCCTTTCCTTTTTTTTTTTAAAGTTTTTGAACAAAATGCTATTTAGAATTTCTGCAATTATTTACTTTTTGAAGCTTTTGTCCCCTTGTGTTGGGCAGACTGTATTCATTCTGGCTAGCATTTGGGTATTTCATTCTTTAGCATCAGGTAATTGTTTATATACGGTGAAGCCACTGGCTTATATCTGCTCAGATAAGCATCCTAAATTTAGACACAGAAGGACTCGTTCTATGTCAACATTGTTAGACGCTGATTTGAATGGGCAACACTGTCATAAAGATAAAAGCCATGTACTCCAGTAGAATATGTTCCAGCATGGAAGCTGATTTCTTATTTAAAACAATGTACAATATTTATTATTCATTTGGGGGGGAAAACAAGAGGGAAAAAGAACGCAGTTTGATTTTCATGTTTGCTGTTTGACTGGAATCCTGACCTCAATCAGGCTAAAAGCTAAAATAAAAGCTGCATTATAACCAATGGCTTCTTCTTCTCAAAATCCTATGCTTTATTTTAAGATCCCTTTTGGATCCTGTGGAAGAATAAAAGATGCTTTATCGAAGAACTGGCGTTAACTGGATTTTAAAATGCTTAACCAGGACTGAGTCCAGTCCCTCATCTCTTGTCTTCTGCAAAGAATGGAACACACCGTACAATATTTATTTTTCTGTATGTAACATTTTTGCCTTGGATAGTTGAGCAAATTTTAAATCTTGTTTATCCACATCTGTAGCACTTTAATTCTTGCTTATCGTGCCCATGTAACAAGGAAGACACCAACATCTCATTCAGAATTATTCTTAAAAGAATCTGCAGCATTTTGGTCAAACTTATTTTTCTGAAAGATACACTTTCGTTTTCTTACATTTCCAAGCTAGTAACTTAGTACAAAATGCAATAACCAGTATAATCTGAGGAGTCAACAAAGTACAGAGATAGATTCTAATTCATCTTCAGCTGGTTAAGTCCACGGTAACTCCAAGAGGGAATTCCATTTATGGCATCTTAGTAGAAGGATGATCAGATTCAGCTGTGGATGGTGAGCTTCGTGCACAAAGATAGCACAACATTATTCATTGAAAACATTCATGCATGGCATTAAGCCATAAAAGGGATGTGCTTTAGTTTAATACATCTCATGGTGGGAACCTAACTCATTGTGGTTATTCCATTCTGATTTATTCACTAAGCCATAGTTAAAGAGCAATGGGCATAGCACAGCATTGGATCAAATTTTAGGGATTATTCTGATGCTGTAGACAGGGTATGTTTATTGTCTCCCTTGGGATAGACCTATTGCTAATACCATTCAACCTGCAGGAAGAGAAAGCAGATATTGGACTGGGTAGTCGTTCAACCCTCTTTAAGGAGCAAGCACCCCAAAACTGTATTCCATTACTTTGGACCGTTTTGAAGCACCGTTCTAAAGAAAGGAATCCATGATTTAAAGATCTTATTTTATATATTTTCCCTGCCAGCGTATTTTTAAAAAGTGCATTCTTATTCTCAAAATGAAAGAAGTTGCTTCTTCTTCTTCTTGTACCATATCCACCATCGGACGTTCATAATCATGTTGGCAATCCTATTTTTGTCAACAGCCGCATGAAAAAGTGCTGCTCAGTTTTGTCCAAACCAGCCCCTTAGATTTTGAAGCCATGATGTTCTTTTTCTGCCTGGACCTCGTTTGCCTTCAATCTTTCCTTGCACAATTAAGTGAAGTATGCTGTATTTTTCTGGGTGTCGCATCACATATCCAAAATATTCTGTCGCTTTTTAATGGTTTTGATGATTTCCCTTGACTTTCCCAGGCGGCTTATCACTTTCTCATTTCTGATTTTGTCAACCCAACTTATACGTAAAGAGAAGTTTCTACAGCAAACTAATTGCTCCAGATTAGGTCTCTACTCCATTCAGGAAGGCTGTTGATATTTAACATTGGGCTGCTTAGTATATTTCCTTATGATCAAATTTTATTTGAGTAGAATCACATCCATCTATCCTTAATAAACTTTTTAAAAAATTGTATAGAACTGTAGTCCTAGACAAGTCGTAAATTCACTGGTCTACAGCAAGAGAAACACTGGGGGACGACATACCAAATTTATCTTTATGACAGATATAACAATTACCATTGTTTATGCTAAACTAAACTTGTTATCCTTTGGTTCCACTTTTTTTTCTCTGCCTTTTGCCTTGTTCTTCCTAATACTGTACCTGTGAATGACCAAATAATACAATTTGCCTATTAACCTATTCAGAAGACTTGATAGGTTATGTCAATGACATCCAACTCAAAGATGATTAGATTTTTAATCACCTTTAGAAGAAGCAAATCCATTGAAATCAACAGAACTACTGAAGCATGATCCTACTTTTTTTTTGCAGCTAATATTTTCGCTCTAGCTGAAATGGGCAGAAAACAGTTTGAAATTTGGGGGGCATAATTCAGATTCTGTTGAATTTTGTGAGAAAACTCTGATTAATTTGTGGCTGGCCTTCCATCTTCCATTTAGTCTTAGGACAATGCATTTTGCTTGAATCCTAATTCTGAAAGGAAGTCTACCACAACCAATTAATCACTAATCTATCTATCTATCTATCTATCTATCTATCTATCTATCTATCTATCATCTATCATTTACCTATCATCTCTCTATCCATCCATGAAATTCCTTTGGTCCTTCATGAGTCAGTAGCTTGAGTAATACACTCTATTTAAAGCTTTCTTTGTATTCAGTGCTAAAACACAAAATAAAAATTATGCTGGGACTCAGGTGAGATAAGATGTCCCTCTAATAGATGCTATTTTTTTAAATGACGTTATTAACCTCTGTGCTTGAGTGATTTGCTTTCTACTGCAGTCACATGAAGCTTTTGTTTGATTCTTTTTTAAAAAAAATCTGTACGGAAATATTGATACGATACCACAAGTGACCTTACTTTGAAATAAGGTTGGGAAGCAGATCATCCTGGGGTATTTTTTTTCCAGTTGCTCAGCATACAGTGTGTTGATTCATGAAGTGTGACTTGATATATCTTGCATGGATTATCGGTGCCGAACACTAATAAAGTATTTTTTAAAAGTATGACCTTTTTTTTTCCTCTCCTGAATTTATGTGAGAGAAGAAGGAATGTTCAACAACCAGAAATGTTTTCGTCAAATAAACATCTTCTTTGGAAATTGAGCCATCAAAAGTCAAATTTGTATGCTTTCTGAAGAAGCCCTTTCTTGTCTGATGTTTTTCAGGTCAATTAGGTCTTTTCCCTGATCTTGTTCTATTACCAATGCTCGCAGGGAGGCGTGTGTGTGTGTGTGTGTGTGTGTGTGTGTGTGTGTGTGAACAAATGTGTGGAGTTTCGTACAAGGAAGGAAAGCTATGTTTGAAATCTAATTCTGTGGTGATCTTAGAATGCAATGCAGAAGGGAGTGGGGTCTATTGAGAGGAAGAAGGGGGGGAGAGGAGGGGGAGGGGGAGGAGACCTGTGGGAACTTTAGCGCTCTCTGATCTTGGTGGTTTTCTTGCAGACATTTCATGATGATGTTACCAACTAGGTAACATCATCAGTGCTAGAAGGTAGTGGGCTTGCTCTGTCAGTGTTGGTGGGAGGT